AAAACAAAAAAGTAGAAGACTAACAGACCAGTAGAAAGATCAGATGGTTTACCTGAGTTCTTAAAGACTGGAATTACAGAAGAGGATTTCCAACAGGCAGGAAAACAAGAAGCAGCAAGGCATTTATGGTAGAGTTTAGAGAGAACAGGAGCCAGTTCAGAAGTACCTTTCTTAAAGACTATTGCAGAGATACCATCAAGTTCACATGCTTTGTGGGGATTCAGTTTAGAGATGATAGCAGAAACCATAGATGGAGTTATATGCATATCACTCAGTTCTGAGCGGAAAATCAAGCAAAGATACTCCAGATGAGTCAAGAGTACAGTTGGAAAAGAATTTATGAGCAAAATATTCTGTTTTATCAGCAAAAGATGATAATACCTCAAAGTGAGGTAAGAGGAGAGAGATATAAGACTTACTCTTATTTAACACACTATTAGAAAGCCGTCAGTAGTCACAAGAACCAAACTTGTTACAGGTGATACAGTGACTCATTCTGTTAGCAAAGACTGAGCCTCTCTGACAATAGGTTTACAATTATTATGAGCAGTCAGAAAGAGACATCTGTTGTGATCAGAAATGAATCAGAATCAGTATGCTGAATTATGGCACTTTGTGTCCTCCACATTTTTCAACCACCTGATGAATATTCATGAACGTTCTCAAATTTAAAAGCCTTGACAAACCAGTGACAGCCTTGCTTTTGTATATAAACATGTGCAACAAAATAAACCCTACATTTGCTTTAGTAAAGTCCCTCAGAGGACAAAATAAGTCAGCTAAGATTAGTTTTTCCTCTTTTGTTTTTCCTATATTTATATATATAGATATATATATATATATATATATTAAATTTTATCATATAATTTAATACTTATTAGTTAGAATAAATTCTATTTTAGTCTAACCCCAACATTAAGGCATTAAATAGTTATTATAACCTTAGTTCATTGTCAAGTTTTGTGAATTCTCCTATACTTGTATTTTGATTGATCATTCCAGCTTATGTAACAGCCTTTTTGGGATGTTTAATTGATTTGAACTTTTTAAAAGCCCTTTATTAAAACATAAAAACACCATCCTTGATAAGACAAATAGGTGGTGAAACAAGATGGCTATTTTTGTAGTGATTTTATAACATATTTATCTTATAATTTTATCTTATATATATATATATATATATATATATATATATAGTCATCCACCTATAAGCCTTTTCCACTCATCAGTGTGACTAGGCATTCTATTGCTTCAAGTAATGATCAAAACTTGATCAATTTGGCATCAGTCAGAGACTTGACCCTAAGAATATTGCATTCGCCAAAGAAAGGAAATTTTTAGTGTATTATAAATGATGGATACAAACTGTAGTAGTAAGAGCAGATATGTGTGTATATATATATATATATAAATTATATATATAAATATAAAGGAGTTCGACATTGAAGTCAACTTTCAGAGGTGACAGGCTGTTTCATGCTAGGCGCAATCGTCTGGCCCCAAGTGCATCTAGCATGAAACAGCCTGTCAAATGAGTGTTGACTTGTAACCAGATTCACTTTTATATTTATATTTACATGGGAATATCTCTGATGTTGAGCGGAAATCCCATAAATATAGCACACCTTAAAAAAAAATTTTTCAATATATATATATATATATATATATACATATATATATATAGATATATATATATATATATACAACCATCCCCATTCATTTTGTGTTCATTTTTTAAAAAATGCCTTATCAGACAGCTTTTCCCAGAACTGTTTTTGTGGAACAAACTGAAAAGAATTTTTTCCCTGATAATTACAATCTTGGTGAACGTAGTCCACAGTCAACCAATATCTATCCTATTCATCCTCAACTTTTATCCCCTGGATCATTCCCCTTCCCTTACAATCTGTCTTAGTAACCCTCTACCTTGAGTGTCTCTTGGATCTTGTATTGAGTGACCTAGCAGTGAAAACACGTGTACTGTATTTGTGTATGTTTGTGCACCATATGTGTGACTTACATGTGTTTGTACACACACACTTTGACCAAGTTTGAAATAACATGTTAGAATAATACATTTCCTTCTCACTCAGCCTGGACAACTCCTACCCTGAGATGAGCAACAAAATCAGAAAGTTGAGGGACAAGAAAAAAAAATGTACACACGTATTAGGAGGGATAATTTCCATTTCTTTTGTCTGCCAACAACCCTGAGGTAAGAGGAAAAAATATAATCTGAAATGTGTGGTCATTTTTATGATTCCTTCTCTATTTCAACTGAACATATTTCCTAAGAAAGGTTGTATTTTAAACAGCCAAACAATTTAGATTTGAAATTTAATCATCCATACACATTGTAGCAGACCACCCTCATCCCTTTCATATCCCCGTGGTGAGACCTAAGTTCCACTCAAGCAGCTTCTTCCCACAAACTACAGCCTTGTGGAAATGACTCCCGATCACTGCAATCCTAACCTGTTCAAGTCTAGGGTCAACTATTATCTTCCCCACATATCCCCATAAACTGTGCCTTTTACTTGAATGAATCTCAGGTCTTGTACAGGGTAAACATCATTGTAAAAAAAAAAAATTTTTTCATCCATAAAGTGATAGCTATTGAACTAGTTCTTTTAAATTTTTGCCACAAGACTCTCATGTGGATGTCATGCATAGCATCCAACTTGTTTGGAAATGTTTAAACTGTCAGTTATGTTTTCTATGATCAATTATTAAATATCTGTCTATATTTCTGAGATGAGGTATTATGTACACTATATACATTATTCGGACTATTGTTCTCATCTTTGTCGCCATATTTTTTACAATGTTTTAAATTTCATTTATCTGTAGTTATATTTCTGAGATTCAACAACAATGTACATTATTTGGACTATTGTTCCTCATCTTTGTCGCGATTCCAACCACCTGAAGAAGGCGGAGCGTACAATGGTTAAACTACATCCGATAAATATGGCGACAAAGATGAGGACAATAGTCCGAATAATGTAAATAATGTATATTAAATATCACTTCAAGTGAATAATCTTTTAGGTCTTAAAGAAGACAAATCTTTATCAGACCCTATAGACTGGGCAAATAGAATAAAAAAAACCAAAGAGGCTTTTTTGAAAAAATTAATACCACATCATTTTTGAAGAAACAAAATATTGGCACCAACTTAAATGGATTGTACATGCAACTAAACAAGAAACTAATAAGATAATCAAAATGTTGTCTTTCCACACTACTTAAAACAAAAAGTTAGGAAGGAAACTTCTGTAAATTCTAAAAACGTAATAACTGGACTTGAGAAAACTATTTTCCTAAAAAACTGTTTAAAGTGAAGATTTTATAAATTCCAACTGACATTAGTTGTTCAGACAATGCATGCTGAATGTTTCCTTATAAGGAAACGGTTGATTTCGCCTTCATCATTACCAGTGCAAAGGCCTCATCCCCACACCAATCTATGATACAGGGAATACAACTCTACTTCATCTCATTTTTCATGAGTTAGTATTCATATAAAAATAAATTTTATTGTTGATAATTATGTACAACAAAAAATGGATCATATGCAATATACCTTGAACAATTCAACTAGAAAAATTGAAGTTAAATACAATGTATGTACAGAATGCCCCAAGATAGAAAGAGAGATTTTCTCTGGAAAATTAGAGCCTGTGTTAATGTATATAAAATAGACCAAACCGGATATAAAATGCTTTTCTCCGGTCCCGACAACTCTCTTATATCCGGGTTACACTGTAAATACAAATTAGAGACACATCATAATAGATCATTCTATCTTAACCCCTTACCTGCCATGAGCCCCATTTAGGGATCTGTTAAAATTAAATACACTATGTTATTCCTTGTATTTACTTTGAATGGCTTATATACATTGCATTTGCAGAGGTATATTTTCCAAAAGTCTTAAGCCTTTTTTTTTTTTATTATAACTAATCAAGAAGACACTTTCTGTCGTAATTTTACATTCCACGAGTAGAAAAATAATGACTATTTTGAAAAGTATTTTTTCATTATTTCTAATCAATATTACTTTTTGATATTTTATACACATATATATTTGATGTTCTAGTTTCTATAAAAATGACAATGGTAACTACTGAAATTAAACATAAGGAATAAATAAACTCCTAAGACACCTGTCTGGGCCAAAAATGCGCATTAAAAAAATTTGGCAGTTAATGGGTTAAATAGATCAACAATGTTTTGCAGTAGTTCTTAATATCAGCTTCAGATATTATCTTGTAAAAAAAGTTGAATAATTTTAACACATTCAGCATTATGGATAATAAATAGTGAATTTTATATAGTGTTTTTCAAGACTTAGCATGAGCAAAAAATAAAATCATGGATTTGGATGAAACAAAAAAAAAAAAAGACCCCCAGAATGAAGTCAAAATCAGTGAAAAATTTTGAACTTCAACTTGAGATTTTTCTTGTTAAAAAATAGAATTTTAACACATTTAACATTATGGATAAAAAAATATAGTAGATTTTATAAAGTGTTTTCTTTTTGTTTTGTTTTTTTTAGTCTTAGCATGAGCAAAAGAAATTCATGTATTTGAACGAAAAAAAAAAAAATGACCCCAGAGTGACCGTCAAAATCCACAAAAGCTTTTCATCCCCTAGTACTCAGTTTTGCATAGTTTAATTTGTAAGGTATATAAACATGGGTAGAAAAAAGTAAATGTTGATAAGATAGCAAGAGTCACAAAAGCAATGTTCCCCACCCACCGGGGGGAACAGACCTCTCCCAAACACCAGGTAGTACGCGTCGGTCCTGACCATTACCACTGATCTTATTTCCCGGATGTCAAATCTGGGTGAATTAAAAAAAAAAATAAAATAAAATAAAACAACCTTACAGTGTTACTCTCACAGCAGAAGAAATGAATAAGAAGGAAAAGAAAAAAGAAACTTGCTCATCTCTTAACAAGAACTGACATTATCTCTTCGTAAAGAAAAAACATATGTTAGCCCGAAAGGGCAATTTTTCTCTCTCCCTCTTCTTTCGGTCGGTGGAGGAGGGGGATAAAAAAAAGAAAAAAGAGTCAAGATAAAAAAAATCAAAAAACGAAAAAGTTGGAGGGGGAGAAGTATAGCCGACACACGAACGTGTTAAAAAAAAAAAAAAAAAAAAAAGAATTTACAGAAACGAATATCCACGTTTGACCTTCTCTCAAATTTGGAGATGAGACAACTGGTGATGGGGAGTCTCCTGGAAAGTGATGGTTAACGAGCTCGTCTTGAAAATCACAACTGGTGAATTTGATCAAATTTCTACCATCTAGCTCAACGCAAATGCATAAACATTAATAAACATGTATCATTCTTACAAATTTGATTTATGGGGGAGGGGGGCGATATTTTTTTATGCTTCATTTATTTTTATTTTTAGGTGGTAGTGGTGGCGGCGGAAGGTATATGATAGAAATCTGACATTCTTTACGTAGGCAGAGGCGCGCCGGGGGTGGGGTGTAACAGCTTGTGATCATATAAAGAGAAAACACACCCCCTACCCATCCTCACCCCTAAATCTGAGCGTGTCGTTTTGAACGCGATGTTTGGTGACAGCAACTTCGTCTCGCGAGCCAGTTTCAATTGGGAACAATTGTAATGAGCTTTCTTTGATCGTGCTCAACTACACTGGCCTTGTGCCAGAGATGTTGATTTCCCAGTTTTACGGTTTTAAAACAATTTAATTTCAACAGACAATTTTTTTTTTTTTTTTTTTATTAAAAAAAGAAATAATAATGAAACTACCTTCTCCCCACAAAACAAAGTTGTTTTTTTTTTCATTTTTTTAAACTAAGTCAAAGTGTGAAAATATTTAACTAATGAGTATGACTCTTCATATAAACCACATATTGAAACACACACAAAACGCATCTTACATAGTCATCAAGTGTAAAATATTGTAACTAGTAAGAAACAATACAAATTGTAGTGTATTTGTGTAAACAATCAGTAATCAACATATTCGAAAATTGAAGTCTGGTTGATTTCCAAACTTAATGAATGACAATGTGACTGTGAATTATTAAATAGAAAGAAAAGAAGAAATAATTGATGCTCTCTCTCTCTGTGTGATGGTCTGTAGAAAGGCCGAATTACCAAGTCTTTTAGTGACTACCCGTCTGTTCTACCTTCCTTTCCACCCGGAATCACCAACCAAAAAGTGACGGATTTTGATAGACTGACCAATCTGAAGTTAGTGCTTCTCTTCACTTGATTGCAGGTAACGAACCTTTTTTTTTATTGTTATCCCCTTTCCTGGTTATTTAGTAGTGCTATAAACAGAAACTTTATGAATCATATCCACTCCTCACCAAAAAAAAAAAAAAAAAAAAAATCTATTTTTTTCTGTTGTGTTGCTAAAATAAAACAAGTACCATACAAACACTTAGAAAAATCTCGCAAATATGGTACACCACGCCAATATCAATTTCGTGATTTTTTTTTTCTTTCTTTCTTTTTGTTTCGGGAAGGTTTTAGTTTTCACAACGGTAGCAACCATTTCAGATCAAGTGACAGCAAGTATCCCTAGTCATCTACCTTCTATGTTGAATTTTTTATACTTATCCGTCGAGGAAGTGTGAACGCTAAACAATTTTTCATAGTTAAAAAAAACCTGTAGAAAAAGGTTATTTGGCGCAGAGTGCTGATGGCAATAAAAACAGCGCCCTATTATTAACTAAAATATACAAATTACCAAACGGTAAGAAACAAAAAACATATTTAATTTAATTCATTATTAGATTACTCAACTGTGTAATCTAATAATAAATATGTTTTTTTTTATTGTTTTTTTATTTGAAATCTGATTATATACACACAGTCATAAATGAGATAGAAATAGAATCGTTTAAATAAACGTGGTTGGTTTGAGTCGCATCTTATGTGAACTCTACAAGTTTCTTTTTCTTAGTCTTCTTAATAATTTACCATTCATCAACTTGTGCAACGACACGCAACACTCAAATGAAGGAAAAAACGACAAAAAAATATTCCTATGGGTAAGAAGGTACACAAACAAAATATTCTAGAAATTTCTCTCTCACAAGGTCTTTTATTTATTTATTTATTTATTTATTTAATATTTTAAAAAAATATTTTAGCATCCTCAAGGACAAAAACGCAAAATAAAAGAATATGAGAACTGCGCATTTAAACATAAGGTGATCACGTAATTGATTCTTTTTAGCCAGGTGAGTGGCATTACTTAACTCACATAAATAACTAAAATCAATAATATTAGTAAAAAAAATTGTCTTTTCTTTTTCAAAATTGTCTTTCTCTTTTTTTTTTTTTTTAAATTTTGCTGTTGATTTCATTTCCTGCCACCAGTTTTTTTTTTATTCTTTCTTTCATTCATTGTCGCCTTTTTTTTTTAGTCTTTTTTTTTATTTATTTATTTTTGTGAGTGAGTCCTTCCACGTTAAATCCAGCGATAGAAGATGATGTGTAAAATTGTCAGGTCATTTGTCGTTATTTCGATGTGTGTCAACCGTAAAAACGTCTCCCTTGACTGAGGTACTTGGCGAAAGAACTTACATATTGTCACATTGTCTCTCTGAAGTTGTTTTCTTCTGTCTGTACATCTCCGAATCTTTCTTTCTTTCTAATTTTCTTTCTTTCTTTTCAGTTCTTTTCTTGTTTGTTTGTTTGTTTGCCTCTTCCTTCCTTCCTTACTTTTTGCTTCTTCCTTCCTTTCTTCTTGCTTCTTCCTTCCTTTCTTTTTGCTTCTTCTTTCCTTCCTTCCTTTTTGCTTCTTCCTTCCTTCCTTCCTTTTTGCTTCTTCCTTCCTTTCTTTCTTTCTTTTTGCTTCTTCCTTCCTTCCTTTCTTTCTTTTTGCTTCTTCCTTCCTTCCTTTCTTTCTTTTTGCTTCTTCCTTCCTTCCTTTCTTTCTTTTTGCTTCTTCCTTCCTTTCTTCCTTTCTTTTTGCTTCTTCCTTCCTTTCTTCCTTTTTGCTTCTTCCTTCCTTTCTTCCTTTCTTTTTGCTTCTTCCTTCCTTTCTTTCTTTCTTTTTGCTTCTTCCTTCCTTTCTTCTTGCTTCTTCCTTCCTTTCTTCTTGCTTCTTCCTTCCTTTCTTCTTGCTTCTTCCTTCCTTTATTTTTGCTTCTTCCTTCCTTTCTTCTTGCTTCTTCCTTCCTTTATTTTTGCTTCTTCCTTCCTTTCTTCCTTTCTTTTTGCTTCTTTCTTCCTTTCTTTTTGCTTCTTCCTTCCTTTCTTTTTGCTTCTTCCTTCCTTTCTTTTTGCTTCTTCCTTCCTTTCTTCCTTTCTTTTTGCTTCTTCCTTCCTTTCTTTCTTTCTTTTTGCTTCTTCCTTCCTTTCTTTCTTTCTTTTTGCTTCTTCCTTCCTTTCTTTCTTTTTGCTTCTTCCTTCCCTCCTTTCTTTCTTTGTCTATTTTTGTCTGCTTGCCAACCGAGACAACTTCTGTCTCTTAGACACTAAAGAAACATATTCCTCTTCATACTTTTTAAAACTCAAAATAATTCTTCAATTGCTGACCACCCAATAGCTATGAAGTAGTCGAATGGAGGGGCAGGCATCATCTAAGAGAAAGCATAGTAGTCATGAAAATAAAGAGAAAAGAAATTAATTAATATGAAAACAACTGCATGGCCATTGATGCAGTCAAGTATTTTCTAGTGGTGGTAGTGGTCGGGGGTTCAAGCCCAGGTAAAAATCTAATATTTGTGATGTTACTGCATGTGGATGACTGCTAAAGCTGAACAGTTTTTTCTGTTGTATATTGTGAGACAAAATTCAGTTTTGTAAAAGTAACAATCTTCTTTCCAGTTCTTCCCCAACTCTGACCATAGTTCAATTAAGACTCATTTAAACACACATGGAAACTTGCCAAAGTCCATCCACGTCATCCTTGTAAAAAATACAAGTACAATAATCTCATCGACATGTAAAAAAAGATTAAAAATAATGGAAGCACTAAAAATTAAAAAGAAAAAGCCAACACTTGATAACATCAACTATGAACACAGCCACAATATGCTGACAGTGTTTGTAAAATAAAACATACCAATAACTCAAGATACATACATAAAAAACCATATATTCAGTTAAAAAAAAATCACCTACGAACACAAGAAAAATTAAATAAAAAGCTTAATTGCAGTACATTGTCAGACATCTTTAATGAAATATGCATATTTGGGCAGCAATCCTTTATATATATATATATATATATATATATATATATATATAGAGAGAGAGAGAGATAGATATTATATATTTATAAAACTAAATGGGTAAACATAGGTAGGTATACGAGCGAGTGATTGCATACAAATACATATAAATACACTATATTCTAAGAAAAAGCAGTGTTTAATGTTAAGTAACAGAGTTATTTAATATATATATATCAAAAAATATATATATAATATCTTACATTAATTGCACAACTTTGAATTTCATGCCGAAGCATTTGTCAAATGCTGTAATTATTATTTTCATTTTTATTTTTTAAATAAACATTTATTTAATAATATAAATATTTAAATAAATATTTTTAAAAAGATAAAAAAAGAATAAAAATAAAAAAATAAATATAATAATTCCAGCAATTGAAAATTGCTTCAGCGTGAAACTCATAATTGTGCAATTAATGTAAGATATATATATATATATATATATATATATATATATATATATATATATATAATTGGTTGGATAGATGTGAGTTTGTGACCCTGGGTTTCACGCTTTAGCGATCGTCAGACAAACTGATTAATTTTTTTAAAAATTTTGGCTTATGTAGATTGCGTGTATTGGTGTTATTGTGGAAGTGGTGGGGGAAATTTCGTCGCTTATGTCATCGTACTAATGCAAACATCGATGTATGCAGACACATATACATACTTGGTGGTCCGTAGGGACTCATACATATATAAACATATGCAGGCAGTTTCGGATATGACATATGTATGTATACGGGTGGTGTTGTGTCACGCATATAATATATAATTATACATATATATATTTATTTATATACACTTTTTCATATATATATATATATATATATATATATATATATATACACACACACACACTGTATGGTGACTGTCAGTGTTACTCAGACCAGATTGAAGATCATATTTATGCATGAAGCCATGTCATATTGATTTCTATGTCCACACTGTTGATATCTACGAAATTTCTCTTATATGGAGCACTCTTCACCTGTTAATATAATAAATATTATATATATATATATATATATATATATATATATATATATATATATCTCAGGTATAAGATAAGAACAAATGGGGTATAATATGATTTTTAAGATGTTTTTAATCTCCTATAATAAATAAGATATATATATATATATATATATATATATATATATATATATGTGTGTGTGTGTGTGCAAAGATACGATAACTAGGGGGATGTGTGTGTGAAGAAGATGAGATAACTAGGTGGGATTTATATATATATGTGTGTGCGCGTGTGTGTGTTGTTCTAAGCATCTTCAGCCAATTTAATAGCCATTTTCAAAGGGTTAATTGTTAATGTTTTTCCAAGTTCATGTCATAAGGTGTATTGTCAAGAGATTCAAACCAAAAACAACCAATGTAGTATATCAGTTTAATTGGCTATTCCAAGAATGTGTCATCTCTTGTCTTGGACTTAAACTGATAAGCTATATTGGACACATAACAACAACCCTCTCCTGAAGGATGACAAGTGGCTTAAGTGATAGCAATGCTATAAAAAAAACATCTGCATACCCACAAATAATAACTTGCCCCCATCAGACAAATTCTGGCTAATAACTCCACTATTCTAAACAAATCTGTCTGTGGAATAGCGACTAAAAATAAAAATAAATAAAAAAACATATAAAGGCTATTTATATAAAATAATTCAAGCCAAGCATCAACCTTACTTTGTTTAACAATATTTCAAATGTGTTGGTGTTCTAAAAAAACAACTGAACATAAAGTTGTACTGCAATCTCATATGCGGTCGAAGATTACTGCTACTTCTACACAATACACCTTATAACACAGACATGGAAAAACATTAACAATGGAACCTTAAAATATCTGACAGTTTCTGCAATTCCATAATCCTCCCAAAAATAAAACTGTGAAAACACACACACACACATATATATATAGAATGCGATGGGTAAATTGTCATCTAAATTATGCAAAAATGAAAATAACACTGACATCTCATTTTAACAGATATATTTACGAAAATTACACAAAAATTTCTTTAAATACTAAAGAGTAAATTTATTAAATAAAATCACCATTGGCTTCAACCACAGCTTCCAGAAGACTTTGGAATCTCCTGCAACTCTTCTGAACGGTCTCCTTGTTGGTGAATGCTGCCATAATCATTGCCATCAGTACATCTTTGGTGTTACAAGGAGTTTTGTTAGTCTCTCACTCAACTGCACCCCACACACATGGTTCAACCAAGAACATTTCAGCACCCTCTCATATATGTGTGTGTGTGTGTGTATATATATATATATATATATATATATTATAATTAGATAGCTTTTGTTTTTCAAACAACTTCTAAAAAGAATAGACATTCTATATCTAATGAATTTTTTATTGTCTATTTTATATATATAAAACAGCTTTTCCCTCATTATTATTATTAATATATATTACAGTGTTATTATATTATTAATATATTTTTTCTCGCTCCCCTACCATTGCCTCTTGACTTCTTATTAATTCTTATTATTAATGTTAACTTTCCCTCCCCACCTCCCTTACATTCCAACTACTGTTGCTTTACTCCTCTCTTTTAGAACGTAATTCCTGTTAAAAAATGTTAAAATAAATAAACAAGGTGTTCAGAGGTTGGAGAATACAACTTGGAGTACTACTGTTCGAGGAAACTTTAATGGTGGCATAAGTGGTTAGTATTTCTTGCCTTCAAGATATATATATATATATATATATATATATATATATATATATATATATATATATATATATATAGAGAGAGAGAGAGAGAGAGAGAGAGAGATAGATTACAGTCTGAAATAGATAGATAAATACATACATAGATATATACAACAGAGCTAAAGATAAATAGATAAATCAAAGATAGATAGATAGATAAATACATCAGAACCTAAGATAGATACATAGATAGACAGATGCATCAGAGCCTTAGATAGATAGATAGCTTGAGTGAGTGAGACATTGCTGCACATATATATATATATATATATATATATATATATATATATATATATATAAGGGATGCTGGAAAGTAATCAAATTCAACTAAGTAGGTCACACTTCCCCAAATATGACCTTTTTCTTAATCCTTTCTTTCTGAAAACTTTTTGCCCACCTTTTATATATATATATATATATATACAGAGAGAGAGAGTCCACCGAGGGAAGCAAACAGGCTGACATTTTGCCAGTAACCAGTATAAATAATTAAATAATTTCTTGTCCTGAATATTTATTACCCTCACCCAAATTACCATCCAGAGATTAAATAAATGATCTTCAAAGTATTTCCTGTGAATTTTTAACAAAACACCAAAGGAAATATCTGGCTGTTTCACACCTTATCATGATCATCAGAGTGGCCATTGTTAAATGTCAAATAAATGACGGAACTGTCCAACAGAGTTGACAAAGTTTGCAATAAGCAATAAATAGAATAGAAAAGAACAGGGTCCCCCCTCCCAATAATATAAAGTAAGCAAACAATATATGCAAGGCAAAGCAACAGTAATAAGGCAAAAAGTTCACAAACTAAGAATTGAAGGTTGAACTCAAAAGCAAACTCAGACAAATGAACATAGCATTCTGACTTCAAGACAAGACAGACCAGGACTCAGATGAAACCGAGAACCGGCTTATTTTATTGGCTAGGAAAAAATCCCAGCATGCATTTCTGTGCTTTTGTCTATAAATAGTTGAGGGGAAAGTATTTTGCAGTCATTCTTAAAGATTAGAACCAACACAAGGCATGAAACTTCCAGTCTCTATACAGGGCTGATTTCTATATCTACATTGTTTTTATATATATATATATATATATATATATATATGAAATGAGAACGAACTGAATATAAATTCCAATGTTTGTAACATTAATTTAAAAGAGAGCTCAATACAATGCCAATAGTAGAGCAATATTCTTTTTTATAGGATATTACATTCAAGCATGTAGATAAACGGTACAGAAATGCAATCATGTTTCGATGTGGATCAGCATATCTCATCAGTTGTTAGTAAATGACACTACTCATTTACTAACAACTGATGTGTTGATACACATTGAAACATGATTGCATTTATGTAGCATTTATTTATGTTTGAATGTAATATCCTATAATAAGGTATATATGTGTGTGTGTGTGTGTATTAGGCAAATGGATGACGAAGTGGAAAAATTCTGAGTAATGTGTTTCAACCTTGAGGACTTCA